GCATCAGACCTGCAGAATATCTTGCTTTTGTATTTAACACTGCACAGCATGAGTAGTCCCATTGCTTTCAGTAGGGTACCTCCATGTCTAAAGTTCACCATGTGCATAAAATGCTTCAGGGTCATCATGACCCAACTCTCAACCATCTTTTGAAAAACTTAGTGTGAGGAAGACTTGTCAGACCTGTGTTTTTCTTTCCTGCAATGTGGTACATTTGGTATTTTTCCTCTCCACAGTCATGTGTAAAGAATTTACCATTTTTCCCCACGCTGGGTTTCAAAAGTAGTTTGTCACCAAGCACTAATTTGGCAACTTTGTTTTTCCTTCAGTTTCTGTGATATATTATGGTAAGCCAGACTCCATAGTGCATTGTTTTTGTGCTTAACACCCATGTAGAATAAATACTGGAGATGTAGTTAAGTCTTGCATTACTAGTCACTGGCACCATCTGTATGAATCTCCATCTTAATTTTCTTTAGTAATTTGAAAGAAATGTAGTATGGAGTATATCTAAGCTTTCATAATACAGTATCTAGCGATGTTTACTTTGTGAGCAATTCTCCATTGAAAACAAATAACTAACACATTATTGATTATATATCAAGAGAAAGAGGTAAACAAGACCTTTGTCAAGAATTTAAAGATTGAACTTAAATTAATTCCTTTAATGTTTCATTAATCAATAAGTAATTAATGCTAGTGTAATACACAGTATCAATTATTTATCCATGTGTTCAGTTATGTTTTAATTGGTTCTTGTCTAAAGTACTAGTATTGTACTTATCCAGGATCTCGAACAAGAGAAATGAAGGAAATGCTGTATTCATATGGATTAGAGTTAGTTTTTAGAGTTTTTCTAACTGTATTTTCTTGCATGTAATGATTTTTTTAGTGTATTTATTTATAAACATATTGGTGCTTATGACACCAGGGATTCTTAAGAAACGTGATCAATGGTATAGAACTGTAGTATAGGAAATGCCTATTTAAAAAGAAATAAATGTTAAAGATGCAACAGTTTGGCTTTTAACCCAAGAGAAAAGACTGAAGTAATTTAATAAAGAACGGTAACCTTTCTAATACGCTGCTGATATTGACCTATGGCATCCCTTGTCCTTCCTGGTTCTAATAGATGTCTGCTGGGGGGTAGGGAGATGCAACAAATTAAGACTGTTCTGAAATGTTTAGTGCAAAAGTTGTATGAAATAAACTAGGGAGAAAGGTGTCAGAAAAACTAAGCCTGTTTGCAGTAGTGATTCAGATTAGCTTGAAAATGCCCATTGTGACTTGGATCAGCATTTATGTTGATAGGAAGGAGGTGAGTGTCCTGATAGTAAATAATATAGCTTAGCAGGCTTCTTGAGGGTTTGGTTTGTTTCTTCACACCCTGCTGTTAAGTTAAAGGAAAGGTCCAAAGCTGGTCTTATAGGGCATTTATACATGTGTTCTGGGAGGGGCGCTTTAATTAGGGTCACTCCAGGAGCTGCTCTGATTAAAGCTCCTGGAGCATCATGTATATTAGCTTCCCTGCACTGAAAAAGGCAGCGGGTACCCTTTAGTTAAAGCTTGTCGAATAGACTTTAAAGCGCCCCTGCTGCCATTTTTCAGTGCAGGCACTCTGATGCCTGTGATGCTGGAGTCTGCTGTAGCACAGTAATTTCCATGCTGTAATTGCAGCATTTTGGAGATGCCTCGCTGCATGTATATAGGCATCCATAATAGCCTTAATTTTGTTCTGGTGAGGTTAATGGTCAGACCTCCCATAGACCTAAGTGTTGCAGTCCTTATGAGAGAGCCACTCCAACCTTGAGGAGAGAGAGTGCATCTTGCTTCTTATCAGACATGTCTATATAATATCTAGGCTTTGATTTATTTGATATCACATATCTAAATGTGTTCTTCCCTTGTTATATGGAGTCTCCTTACTGAAAAACTCTTAATAGATGAGTTATTGCATCATAGGTAAAGGTAAAATTTTTCACAATTAAGGATGGGGAGGGGGACCTCATTAACATAACTGAATTCCAGGAAGCAGAATGTATACTGCTACCCCTTCATTAATGTGCAATACAGTAAAGATTGGGTTAATTCGTTTTAAAGAACATCTGGGTGTTCGATGTCTGGCTTGTGTGGGGAAAATATAACGTGTGATTTGTGAGCTAGGCAGAGTCATAAATGAAGATTGTCATTGAAAAGTGGCTAAGATTTGGGTCGTGATTTCACTTGCCTTTTTATAGCATGTAGCTTTGGGATATTCTCAGGTATAATACTTACAAAACATGCTGTGCGATCACTAAAATCCTGTGAAGATTTGTCTTAATCTCTGTTAAAACTGCAGGGAACAAAAAGCTGCCAGTTAAATATAATGTCTTGAAATAGTAATGAGATTTTTAGTAATGCCTTCCAAAAGATCACAAAGCACGTCTTAAATGTTTATAATCAAATCTTCACAAAGATACCAAAGGAAGATAAGGGAAAATTGATAATACCTGTTTTACAGATGAATAATCTGAGCAATAGAAAAAGCAACAAACTTGTCCAAGTGAGACCACAGTGACACCTTCCACACTACAGTTAAGCTACCTGTATACCCCAGCCTGGGAGCACAGGCACATGATTCCATACATCACATACAGTGATTTTTGAGCCAGAAGTCTCTTTCCCATCATTCCATCCTGTCAGTAAATGTATCTAGTTGAATATGAAAGCAATCCTATTCTTTACCTTCAGCACTTTGCTTGGAAGACTATTCCAAATGGTCACTCCTTTCATAATTAGGTATCTTCTTCCAGTTTCCAATCTAAATTTGCCCATAGCCAGTTAGTGGCCATTTGAACTTGCATCAGTATTGTCCTTCAGGCCGAAAATCTAATTCCGCACAGCTCACTCCATGAATGTACTTGTAAAGGGTGATTGTGTCCCCTATTAAACTCTGCTTTGCTACACTAAAATAATGTTTAAGTTAGCGTTAAATAGAAGAAGCAGTATGGCCAAGCAAAACAGCAAAGTGTTCATAAATCACCAAGCATCCTTAAGTGAGCAAGTCTTTGTATGCTGAAGGAGAGGCCTGTTTTGTGAATACCTGTGAAAGCATCAACATTTACTGTTTGTAGTTTTAAAACTGATGAACCAACTTTCTCCAGAGTTGAATTGTTTTCCACCTTCAGTGAAATTTATTTAAAAACCTAATTTTAAACTACTTCTAGCAGTTGTCTATGATTGCGCGTTCAACAATGAAGTTTTGAACATGTGGGACAAGCGACTTGCATCTTAATGCTGCCTCCCATAACTCCAGAATGAGAGAGTGGATATCGCCCAAACTCTTATCAGAAGAAAAATCACCTTTTAATCAAACAGAAAATGTTGTAGTGCCAAAATGTTCCCAGTCATAGCTCCTTGTTTCCCAGGGCTTTGACATGAATGTAAATCAGAGCAGCCAGTAAGTAAGTAAGTGGATTTTGGTCCCCTTTGGAACATGGTCCAGTTGAGAATTGGAGTAGCAGATTAGAGCTCCACCATGCCAAAATATGTAATTTAAAAAGGGGTTAGTGTTTGGGCTGCAACTCTGGCAGTACACAATTAATCCACTCTTTACTGTATTGCAGATTAATGAAGGGGTAGCAGTATATATTCTGCTTCCTGGAATTCATGGAGGGGAAAGCACCATTTGGTCTGAATAATGATGGCTGTTGTTGATGACTGACTGCTATAAGTTGGTCCATATTATTTGGCTTATCAGTTGCTGTCCTAATACCTGGATATATCTGTCTCTGTAGTATCATGTCATTATAGATTGCTTAGACTTAAAACTTCATAAAATGGCAACTCCTTACCAAAAAGCAAAATCTTAAAACATGTCATTTGTTTGCCCTTTTAAATGATGATTATATCTTTTCTAATAGTGGAATGGTTTTCCCATTGAAATCTATGGCAAAATGTTGATTTCATTGGTACTCTAATTGTTTATTTTGTAAGTGAGAGAGGCCTGGTAGACTTCCAAAATCTTTTTTTATTTATTATCCAGTTGCTGTCTTTGTGTTAATCCTGATAGTAAATGGAATTATTTTTTGACTACACAATGTGCACATGGAACAAACATTGCTAGCTCTGTTCTTGAGTCCCCAGAGTTAGTGTGTTCAGGCTCTTCCAAGGTATGTGAGTCACACCTGGATATCAGAGACTGGATTCTAACCTGTGATGGTTTATATATTTTGTATAGAAGATAGATATAAGATGCTGCTAAATGTGAAATGCCAATCTGTAAGACTAGCATGGCAGTATTATTGGTATTCTGTGTGTGTATGCAATTCCTTCAGTGTGAATTTTATTTTCTGTGTATACATCTTCCTGCAGACAAGCATTTTGGAAACTTTAGCTTAATTGCTGCCTGTTGTTTTGCTTCAAATTCATATGCTATAACTCACCCCTTTAGTGCTGGGAGTCATATTTCCCTGGTGCACTTGTTAATGGCATTGGGGAAATCCTATCTCATGGTGTCATAGGATTAAAAATCAACACTGCTTAATATAAGTGTATGATTAATGGATGAGTGGCTGAAGCAATATTCTGGTGCTAAAAAAGAGGGATTTCCTGGCTTGTTCTGTAATAAAATGTTGGACTACTGCAGTGAATGTAGGTGTGAGAGAAGCTTGGAACATGTTGCTTAGCTGGGGAAACATGAGTGCCTTGTACTGTAGGTTGGGTGAGAGCATGTTCAAAAGCTAGTTTGGTCCAGTGTTATCACTCCATATTCTTAGTTTTGGATGTCAGTATTCTATCTGAGAGCTAGGAGGAAACGTTAAGACGAAAAAGATATGCCCACAGTGAGCACCCAGTGTTGAATTAAAAACAATATATTCAACCCTTATTTGTAGCTTTTTTGTTTGGTTTTTTTGGAGGGGGGTGTTCATTTGAACAGCCATTTGAAAGATGATCACTTATGTTTAGTAGTTCTTCGTGAACTAGGTAATATGACTTTTGTGACTATTTTTACATGGCAGGTCACAGTAATGAAAGGCAGTAATAGGAATAAGGAGCATTCAGCAGAAGGAGAGGGGACTGGGAAACGACCAAAGAGAAAGTGTCTTCAGTGGCATCCACTACTTGCAAAGAAAATTCTTGACTTTTCTGAAGAGGAGGAGGAGGAAGAGGAAGAAGAAGATATCGATAAGGTAGACCCAGCCCTTCCAAAAGTGGAGACAGCTTGGTTGCTCCAGCTGTGTTGAGACGTACTTCAGTAAAGATCTTCATATGGATTATTGAATTAGGAGCATAGCTTGATAAAGTGATTTTCTTTCTTTAAAATACATCACTAGGAATACAACATGTTTGAAGATATGTATATTTTGGGTTAACGCTTGCTTTATTTTTTTTAATTAAGATGAGAGGAACCCAAGAAAGCTGGAGAAGATTTATAGTATGATAAGGAAGCTGATTCTGGATTATTTAAATATCTATGCTAAAATTGCTAGGAATATACCAAAGAGTTTCCTTAAGGTAGCTCAACAGAATTAAAATAATTTCAACTTCAGTTGTTCATTGTTGCACCTGCAAATGAAAGTATTTGGCATCCCTGAAACTGACACTGTTCTAAAAGTCAGATTCAGCTATTAGTTATGCTTTTGTATTCCATAGGAAGTCAACATTCATTAAGAAGAGTGTAATAGAAAAAAATGACCTTGTTAATAGTGGGTCAGAGTCTTCCCTTGTTTATATTTTTGTAGCTCCTGTTTGACTGTGAGTATAGCCAGCGAAAAGAAATATTCTGCACTCAAAGATATATGAGAAACAGTGCTTTGTTGTGTTTTAGCTTTGTTCAAATCTTTTTATACATCTCATTTTCACACTTAATCTGAAACAAACTTTCTGGCAGTCTTTCAGTTACATGTGGTATGTTTTATAGCCTTGATTTCTCATGGTGCTTTTTCAGGAGTTTTATAGCCTCAGTGTTATCTATAGTTTTGCACAGTGGCAGTATCGTAGCCAATGAGGTTAATCCGAGGCACGATTATTGCTAGTTGAAAATCTTCTTCAAGGGGTGGGTTTGAGTGAGATGCCAGGCTACCTTTCTGAGCTCTGTCAGCAATCTTTTTTGCTACACTTGTCCACAAAAATATGACTCTCTTCTGGGTTTATGTGGGCAGGGATTTCAGAGGCCCTTCCTGGGCTTGCAACCATTTTCTTTCGGCACCATTCAAAGACTTTGGCTTTACTCTTCCTCAAGAACCGGAGCCTGTGGAGTCCCACAAGTTTTATACCTTGTTGATCTCCAGCTGTAATGGCAGTAGATAGCTAACATTCACGTTTCTGTCACCTAAATCAGAGGTTCCCAACTACCGGGCCACAAAGGGTTAGCTACCAGCCCCTGCTTGGACCCTCATCCATCCACCTGGCTGAGCAGCTTCTGCTGCTGGCAGTGACATACGGGGTTAAAACTGGGGGGGTGGGGCAGCCCCAGGAGGGAGGCAGTCAGCTCCATGCGCCCTATGCTCCTGTGCCGGTCTGCAGGTTAGGACCTTGAATGTCTCAGAGTCAGGGAGAAGGGAACAACACTAGGAACAAACGAAGACTAGACACAAACACTTCTAAGATGGAGTGATGCTGAAATAGGGAGAAATCACTGGAGAACAGAGTTGGGCTATGGTGCCTTCACTTGAAAGATGGTGTACAATATTCTGCCAGCTTGTAGCTGGCCTTGTGTGACATGGGTCTTGCTACTGGGACATGCTTGTCCACAAGTTCAGGATTGTATTACGGTCATGTTTTCCAGCAGGGGTTCACTCTTGAAAAGGTTCAGGCAGATTTTTAGTTGCTGGACTGCATGATATAGCAGCATACCTCTTCAGTGAAAAGAGTTCTTGGAACTACGATGATGCTTCTTCACATTTGCTGCCTCTTCACTTCTAGATGCAGTGCACATTGTTTGTTAGAAACTATATAGCACAAGCCTTGTTAAAAAAAATGTGGCCTTTCTTCTTTGCCCTACTGAGACAGTAGGTTTTTCTTGCTTTTAAGTCCTGGAGTTAAGCTCCAAGTGGCAGGGAACAGCCCTCATCTTGGGAACCTGCTAGTCTGAGCCCCAGTCTGGCAAGAGAGGTTCAAAAATGTTGGTTTTATTGTGTTACTTACAGAAATCCACACCAGGGGCAAGCAGGTTTATTATAGAATCTACTATATTTTTTATTTTGAAATGGATGGGTGTGTAGGGGTGTGCATGTGCATGAGAGAGAGCAACTTGTACTATTATAATCATTAACATTTAGCAATTTCTTACTGACACTGGTCTATAATATTTCTTTTTTTGGTTCCAACAGGTCCAACTTCTTGGTGGTGATGGTCTGGAGCATGATGCTGATGAAACAGAAGACGATGAATCATCGGAGCAACGAGCTCGGAGGCCGATGAATGCATTTCTCTTGTTTTGCAAACGCCATCGCTCCCTTGTGCGACAGGAACACCCCCGTCTGGACAATCGTGGTGCTACCAAGATATTAGCAGATTGGTGGGCTGTTCTAGACCCAAAGGAGAAGCAGAAATACACTGACATGGCCAAGGAGGTATGTAGTTTTTGAATGACGTATGAAGAACAGCATGACCTGCTATGCCTCTACTACCTCATATAGTCCTAGTGTTGTAATGTATGAACGTATTCCTTACCAATCTACACAGAGCGCATCTACACAAGACATTTACTGTAGAGCTACCTAATAAGTTCTGCAGTAAATACCTCTCTGTGTCTGCATGTGTGGCCATAGTAAGGTAATAAACTCCGCCTCAGGTTAGTACTTGTAAATACAAGTACTGTCCCACGGCAGAGTGTTTTAGTGTGCAGCAACTTGGGTATAGACGCTAACGGGGCTGGCTGGGGCATGCTGGCTAGCCCCATGCTGGAGCACCCCTTGTGCCCCAGCCAGCCTCTCTGAAGCATGGTGAATTAAGTCAGAACAACCCCAAGCTTACAGGCTGTGATCCTCTCGGCCCCCTGCCAGCCAGGGCTGCTCTGCCCCAGCTTAACATGCTGTGGTCCCAGATGCATGTGCAAATACTGTGCCTGGGAGCAATAAACTCCAGTGCAATATGCACCAGAGGTTTTTGCTTCAAATTAATTGCACATGTAGAAAGTGTCCACAGTGTATCAGAAATTCTCTGAGCTGCCATTTTCTAAACTGAAGGTCTTGAGAGTGACTTGCATATGAAAAGGGTCAGAAGAGTGTTTTTGTGCTTCGAGTGCTCGTTACTTTGGACACCAGAGCAAGGGAAGCAATATGTATCCAAAATATCCAGTTCTTGGTAATCTTCTGAGTGCTTTGGACCTGCTTGTACTACAGCATTATCACAGTGCTGGCCTTAAAAGGCAGGATAATACACTGGAGTACGTCCATTAGATAAGTAATCTGTTCCCTGAACTTACCTTGAACTTTGCACTTATCAGTGATAGAGCTTGTTATATAGGACACCTTGAAAAGTTTGACTAACTTTGAGGTTCTTTTCCTTTACTAATAATGTCATGTTCTTCAGGTTTTTGAGTTGTCTGTTGTGAAATAGGTCACATGGCAAACTTTGGGGTGACAGTGCCTTCACTTGGAGGCTCAAATCTGGGTATCATATGAGAGAGGAAAAAGACCTTCATTTCAGGAAACATCTCTGCTTAATCTCCCATTTTAAATGACTCCCCAAAGGATTAATATACAGAGTAAATTGGTCCCAAAAGATCCCCAGTGCTGTTGATGGGGTGGGTTTCACTATATCCAATTATAGGATGAACATAGCCCAAGACAGCAGAAAATAATAATTAGTTGTTAAACTTGGATTGTTTGAGGCACAAAGTTAGACGCAAACAAATCAAGTGCTGGGACATTAGGAGGGAAGAGCACAATCTCTGCACTTGTAGACTACATTGAACAAGATATAAATGGAGCCTGAGTTGTAGTGTTCCTTAGAACAATTAAGGGGACAATTATCCGTAACTTGCATAGTACTCGGGATCATTTGCTACTGTTGCCAATTGTACATGAATATTGGCTACCCAGGGAGTGCTTCATTAAATTGTAGAGCTCTCTGGAGAGATGCACTTACTTATTGCTGGAGTCTCTCTCTTGGGCCATGTTCAGAAATAGTAGGGAAAAGTGAAGCACTATACATGGCTTGTACAGACTTTACAAATATTTTATAACTTCATGTGTAAACAATTTCAGAAAGACTAATATAGCTTATATCAGGGAACAGGTGAAAGTAAGAGTAACAGTGGAAATTTTGGGAAATGGAAAGAAAAAAAATCATAGGAGGAAAAACGTTTTGGTGATTGTGATTTATCTTTTTTTAATTGCTTCCTGTTGCTGAAAGAAACTTTTTCATTTTAAAGGAGAAATAATTGCAGCACCCCCTTGTGAAGTGACAGATCTGAAACTATTAATCGTAGTATAGTATAAATTACAGTTCCTGTAGTGATTTTTATTCATTTTCCTTAGCATCAGATATTGTATTTTACTAATGTAGAAAAACAATAAACCAATCTGAATTCAAATCATTAAAATTAGTTCCAAGATTGTGTATAAGATAAAGTGTATATTTCTTATTCTTTAAACAGTTGTACAATGCAGCAGTAATTAGTAGCTAGAACATATAAACTGGTGTTTTAGACCCTTTTCCTAGACAGGCTCAAACTGCAGGAAAAACAACCAAAACCCCATTGCAATGCATTACTTGATATCATTTCGTGCTTGATTTTGCTGTTAGTCTTGTCTTGGGGGGATAACACCATAACTCAATTGTATTGTAGAGCTTGTAAAAAAAACAGTTTTGTGCAAACTTTTTTGATAATTGTTTAGCCCAGAATTGTCAAACTTATCCAGCCTGGCAGGCCAAATGAGTGGTACAGGGCTGGTCCACAGACTGGATCAGGCCCACCGACCCCCTCCACCTCCCCTTCCCCCAGCATACCTAATCTTGTGGCTGCTCTAGCTGGCCTGGGACCCGTGCTGCGGATCCTGGAGTGGCCAGAATGGGCACCACTTGCAGTGTAGTCCAGCAGACTGGCAGCTGCCCTGCATGCATTGTCCACCCTGCTGGGCTGTGCCTCACAGTGACTACCTCAGCCTACCCCAGCACCTAAAGGAGTGAATAGCAAGCTGCAGTGCAGGTCCCAGATTGGTCAGTATGACACTTTGAGGCACGTGTTCCATAGCTGGCCACCACATGTGGTGCGATCCAGCCAGGATGGTCACCATGTTACAGCGTTGCTACTGCTTCAGCCAGACTGTGCCGAGAACAGTGCAGTTCAGGTTCCAGATTGGCTGGAGTAGCCACTGGATCAGGTATGCTGGGGGAGGGAATTCATGTGCCAGGTGCAGCCCATGGATCAGTCCTGCACTATGGGCATTTGCTGTGCCCCAGCTGGGTCTTATGAGACACAGGAGCAGTACATGGGGGCCGGATAGTAGGGCTCTGAGGGCCATATCTGGCCCTTAGGCTGTTTGTTTGAAACCCCTGGCTTAGCCAGTCACAGACTGTGTTTTAAGATAAAATGATGGCTTGAAATTTTCCATAGAAAGCCTTCTGCTCTAGTACTATTGTTGTGAAGTCTCAGGAATTTATTTTTTAACTGTAAACAGCCAAAGTTTACAGAAATAGGCACCTAGTTAAATGGTCTGATATTCATATCTACTGAGCACTCAACAATTTTCAGTCTTAGACCATTTATTTAAGTACCTAAGTTTCAATTTAGAAATGTTAACTACAGGCACCAACATAAGATATTCAAATGTCTTTAAACACCTGAATATGTAAGAAGTTGCTAAATGAGTTTATCAAAAGCAAGTGAGGCATTGAATCCTGTTGATATTTGGGGGAAATTAGGTGTTTTATTCACTTAGACATCTCTGAAAACCCCACTAGGTGCATACCTGCCTCCTCAGATATCTACCTATTATTGAAAAGCTGGCCCCAGTTTTTAAAAATACTGGAATTTTTGCTGTATTAATATGCATTCTATGTTCATAGGCAAGTCAGTGGGAATTCTGCTGTTGTCTTCAGTAGGGGTAGATCTGATTGGTACACTACAGATGCTGTGAAATTCATGAGTGTTCAAGGCAAAAGCTTCATAGGCTACTGACTGTTTTTGGTAGAACCAGCAATGCTCATTGTCATTCATAGATTTCATAGACATTAGGGCTGGAAGGGACCTCAGAAGATCACTGAGTCCAGCTCCCTGCCCCAGTATTTACAGCCTCACTGAGAACATGGCTTTCTAGCTATTTAGAATGAAAACTGTTTTATTTACTTGTATTTTTATTCATTTGTGCATGGTTAAAAGGAATTCTCTGCTCCCTGCCCACCCCCAACCCTTCCTCTCTTCCCCCTTCCCAATCTTTTGGTTAGATATATTCAAATCACTTTATAGGCCTTGATTCTCGTGCGTTACAAGGGGGCAGGAATCTGTTTTTAAATATTTCTCTGTATCCTTAAGACCCTGGCCATCTGAGTTGTTTCCTTGGTGAGCAATATGAGATCCCTGGTACATGCATTTAGTTGAAGGTGTGATATGAGCCAATCCCCAATCCAAACAGTCGGGTCTCCTGCTGTGCCAAATGTGTATGGCAGGGGGAGCAATTTGGAGATCAGATCCTAATCTCACTCTTTCTATTTACAAGTACTGAGAGAACCCAGGCTCCCTCTACACTGGCAAATTGAAAGAGGAGTGCCACGTTGGGGCCAACAATCAGCTGATTACTGTCTCCTGATCTGTACTGCACCAGGGTCTCAAACTAGCCCCTGTGCAGTGTGGGGCAGACAGTCAACTGATTGTTGGCCCTGGCCATATGTTACATTTTTAACTCACTATAGAAACCAGCCATAGAAATGTTCTGCATTAGTTGTGGAACATTTTCATGGCTCATTTCCTATTTATTGAAACTTTAAATTAGATTCATATGTAGAACCTTTCCCATCTATGCTGTGATTAACACATTAATTGTGGCATAAATGTAACATGTAGAGGGAGCCTGATAAATCCATGCCCTTGCCACGCATTGACAGAACTCTAACTGCACAGGCTGTTCCAGACTTTTCATTGTCAAAGTCAACTGGGCTCTCACTTTGTTTTGCTGTTTGGTTGGGAGTAGCATCAAAATGGAAAAAAACAAATATTTGCCTTCCCTAATGGAGATGCCTTGTATGAAACAGTGTGAACCATCCCCTTCTATCAGTTGTCAATCTTTGTCATATTTCTGGTTGTTCTTGGGAAATCCTAAACTCCTGACTCTGAGAATCTTAAAAAACAAACCAGCCATGTTTCTAGCCCTCAGGTTGTCAAAATAAAGTTGGAAAACATGAACTGTAAAGATTTAAATGTCAAATGACCTTTTATTTTATTAGTTAGTTAAATCTCATAGTTTCATTCACAGCTTGTTGAGGATGTGGACAGACCTGGTGCTGATGCATTGATGATTTTGGTGCTGGTAATATGTGACTGCAAATGAACAGTGGAGACCCATTGACGCAAGGCATTCACTACTTCCTTCAGCTAGTACTGGCCATTGAAACAAAGATATACCACATG